TCGGCAGAAGAAGCCTGCTGAAACCCAGCGCACATATCTGGGGGGCCTGCGCCCCCCAGGGAAGAGCTGGGGGAATGATCAGAGAGCTGGGGGATGTTCACACACAGATCCAGGGGCCGTGCCCCCCAGGAAGAGCTGGAGGAACTGATCAGAGAACCGGAAAATCAAACCAGGAGCTCCAGCTGACACATGGAGCCATCCCAGCTCCGGGACATTGCGCGACACGCAGCCTACTATGGCACACAGATCTGAGGACCCGCACCCCCCAGGAGGGCTGCGAGGCTGTGCCAGACTCCTCCCAGGGGGAGCAGGCCCCCAGATCTACATGCAGGATATTAGCAAGTTATATTAGTTTTGTTTTGAACAGTTTGAGGCACAGTTTCACAAAAGTCCCTGCACCCGTCTCCTGGAAACTGAGGGCATGAAGCCTGCCAAGAAGGGGCTACCATCCCAGCAATTTTCATCCAAATCAGGCATGCAATGACAAAGTTATAGACATTTTTGTGATTCCCCATTATAGCCTATGGGCGAAACGGCAAAACAGTTTCGATGAAACAAAACAGAACAGTGTTTCAAAGCAGCAAAACAAAGCACTGTTCCTTCAAAATGGCAAAATAGAAATTGTAATGAAGTGGCACTGTTACACACAGCCCTAGTTCCCAGCCCTGGGTCTAATACATGGTCCCTGCTGCCCTGCACCTCCATGCCTCCTGCTCAGCTGCAGGACACACACCACAGGGAAGCTCCAGGCCACACTTCCACTGTGATTACAGCTCCCAGGGGAAATCACAGGCCTGCACACACTCCTTCCAGGAGCACTGCCACAGATGACCCCAAGCTGGGGAGGCTGGGAGGTGGCCCTGGAGCCAGAGACAGCTACCCCTGCCCCTCTCCCCAAACTCAGCCCTGCCTCCTGTGCACCCTGCCAACCTAGGGCTGCCCCTACCAGCACAGAGCTACCCCCAGTGCTCCATGGTACTCCAGGGCTGGCACCTGAGTGAGCCTGGAGCTGCCCCTGGCAGCTGCAAGAGAGCAGAGCAGGGCAGAAACAACCCTGGACTAGGCTGCTCTCATTGGGTAAAAATCTGCACCCAATACAGGCACATGTGTAGACACATTTCTGGACAAAGTTTAATGAACCTTAATTTACTGCACAGTAAATTCAGGTGCATTTATTGCACATGTAGGTAAGCCTGTTGTGGTCTTTCTTTGCTCCTATCGTCCTTGTTCCTATGTCCCCCCATAGTCTTGCCACTATTTCCCCTGCCATGCCATTTTGCTCCATGCTCTGGCCATTGCATTACTGCCTTTCCTCCCCAGACATCCACTTATTTCCTGTCCATACAAACATTTGCTCCTGTCAGCCAAATCTCATTTTACACCTCTTCACTCCTCTTCCTCCCAAACTCCTGTTTGTTTGTTTGGGGGGGTTGTTTTTG